TTACGCTTTTGGGGGAAAGTTTTGTATCCCAGACTTTTCAGTTTGATGAGTATTCACAGTTCCCATGTGTAATCATATGACCTGAGGAGGTCATTATATATATATATATATAATGACTACACTGCTACTCTCAGTAACTCGTAGGTCTTCATAGGTCTATACCGGCGATCATAAATCCAGTTTCCAATGGAGGTTTCATCTTATCAGGGAAGCCAGTTTATGCTGAAGAGCTCAGAAGCACTGTACAGCTGTTTCATCCCTGTTGGGTACCATCAGCGGTGCGCATTTCACGAAGGTCAGACAGATTCGAACCCAGGACCTTCCCCCCAGTACCGCTACCCCGAGAGTGGCTGGTCAGTAGTAAGATTAACTCTCATCTAATCGGTAAGTAACACCACCCATACTTCAATTACGGAAACCTCATCACGTGATCACTTGTTGGTTGGCTGTTTCCTCAAGTGACGAATTCTCAGAAGAACTTTCCACAAATCCATGGAAATCATCCTTATTGAGCTGCATATTGGTGCGTGGTAATTTGAGGAGATTTGGTAAACTTCAATAGATATTTCATCCTGTCACTGAGCAATAGCAACTGGCATTTCCCTCATAACCAGCGACAGGTTTGGAGTGAGGCATAATTCGATCTCCTGGTGACGAAATCAGTTATAGCAAGCATTTACTAAGCAAGCACAACACCAAGTGCAGGATACACTCAACAGATAGAAGGGAACAAAATGCCATCTACTCATAAGGTTGCCGGAAATTCTTCGGCAGCTCACGACCGGTTATCAGCGACCTTATGAGTAGTGTATCAAGTCTATACACGTATCGCGGTATCTCCAGTACCGTACCAAGTGAAACATGAGGCGGCCTGGTGCGGCACATTCACTTGCTTAGAAACAGCATTAAGGAGCGATTGAGTCTGGTGAGTGAGTCTCTCGCAAAACCAAATTTGTTTGCAAATGAGTGTATATCTCTAAAATTCCATCTGGTTATTATCCACTGCACTGACCTCTATTCATTAGTTCCAATCGCCTGCGAGTGCAGGTGTAAAGGATACCCCACTAAGGTGCATGACTGTTCTTCGCTTAATTGTGTACCATACCTGAAATGATGAAATTGCGACCCTAGTAACTAATTACAGTGGGGTCATCATCAAAGTAGATTTGAGACCGTTCAGAGTAATCTGTAAATTTTTTAATTGAAGAACGATAGACCGATCTATAATTGGCGAGACCGTGCTGATGAAAGGGCTGCACGCTGACATGTAAAATTTTTAGAAAAATTTGTTCGAAAGAGTAACCAAAGTTATTGTAAATTACGATACGTAATTGTTTGTTTTTCCCTATTCTCAGACTACTTCATTATTCTTCTGGTGGCTGCTCAAATTTCAATGCTTAACTATTCGATTTTATACAAAGCCGATTCTATATTAACTGTTATCATAACTCGACTTATTCACATTCATTTCTGGATTTATTGTTGAACATTTTGTCCCGCTGAACAACACTTTTCCCGTTCGATTTGTCCGATATCACAGTGCCCTTACTGTGTCATTCTTCCCAAGTTTCAATTTAGTCGTAAGCTTTTCTTTGATTCTGCTCACGACTTACTGTTAATTTCTTAAAGAACCACGGTCTACCCATCTATAGAGTTCGCCCACGTCTAATTCAATATATACTGTTCAATTTCCAGTTGCGACTACTGAACAAACGCAGGTGAAGTTCTTAGAATTCGGTTTTGCCTCAATTATTACTGACCGTCCGTTGTTGAATTACAATACACGTTACCTGTCAGATAGGACACCTAGATCGTGCGTTTAGGCGAATTAACCAATTCACTGCCTTGAGATCACGGTGTCAGCACCGAATTGTACAGTTGTATTTGTACGGGGACTGCAAGGCGTTCATGGGCGTTGCCAAGAAAGATGCACCAGATTGACTTCGGGCACACCAATCACATCGCTCAAATGTGAACACGTTCGCCTGTTCAGACGTGAAAATTCAGATGCGTCCAACGGGCGTTGGTGAAGTAGTGGTTACACTCTCGATTCGCATGTCAGATGTCTGGGGTTTGAATCCCGGCGCGGCCCTTAGATATGCACTGCTGATGAACTCTGACAAGAGCGAGACTCGAGTCCAGTGCTTCCCTCCGGTGTGGACTCACCGGAACAGGAGGACGACCGTACAAACGAGAGTGGTGTGAACAAAACACCTGTTCCGCAAACCCTCAAAATTGAAACGTCGATACCATGCTCCATAGTCAGCTTCATCTCTTAGTGTATTTCAAACAATGCGTATTAAAATGCAGGTTGTGGAAATAAAAGGTCAGCAGGTTTTTTCATTCTCCAAAAGCTGTTATAAAACCAGCAAAAAAGCGAAAATGTGCTTCAGGTGCATCCTTCGTCATTTGTCCCATGCAAATCTTAACTTACACTCCTTGTAGTCATAGAAAAGTGCACGGACGAAGAGAGAAAACAACCGCAAAAATGGGGATTCGGAATTGCAATGCCCAACAAACGATCGTTATGTGACTAGGTGCTCCTTGGGGAACCTAACAGCTTCAGCTCTCTTTGCCCAGGCGGTGTTCGCTGAGCGGTGTTTTTTCGGCGCCCTAAAGCTCGCCGGTTTCCCGGCGCAAAACAGTCGCATCACTATCCACCTGAAAGGTTCTGATTCTGTTTAGTCATAGAAAAGTGCACGGACGAAAAGAGAAAACAACCGCAAAAATGGAGATTTGGAATTGCAATGCCCAACAAGTTATTATGAGAATAATAGAACCTAACAGCTTCAGTGCACTTTGCAGCACGCGGTTTTTCCTGAGCAGCGTTCTTCCGCCTAAAACTTGTTCGGCTTTTAGGCCAGGAATTCGGCTCTCCAAGGTTGGGATCTTCTACGCCGGATTAATGAGACCAAACATTCACATCACTCCCCGCCTGAACAGTTCCGATACTGTCTTGGTGAGTCCACATCAGAGAGAGGGTGCAGTGAACTCTACCTACGGTCTTCTTAGAGCTTAGATGAAGAGTTTGTCCTCAGCTGCTGCGAGAACCGAACTGTCACCGTGAATGAGACAGAGGAGGCAACACAGGCAGGACATCGTAGGACAAGCCAATCAGATGGGTCAGGCATGGACAAGTCCCCGTATTCACACAGGCTCATTCACGTGCATATAGCGCGCGTGTTCACACGTGATCATCCACGCGCGTATACCGTCCAGCTGTATGGCACTGGTACAACCTTCACACGACATGCCAACTGTTGGGATTCAACACTAAACTGATCATGAGCTCAAATAAGCGTGAAAGAGACTTGTTACGGTGGCTGGGCGAATCCGCATTACAGCACAGTGTCAACCCACTGAATATGTGAGTACCGACACCGATTTACTTGCGGTTGTTTCTCCCGATTGCGAATAGGATCAGGGATCAATAAAAACAAATAGCACAGCTGGGCGATTCATGTCAGACGGCGTAACGATCGATGTGCGTCCGTGCGTGTGTGTGAGTGAATGGGAGGAAACTGACTGGTTGGTGTATCCACGCCTGACACGTCAAGCGTATGACGTAGTCGGAGCAAGCATTCAACGCGCAGTCAAAACAGTGACCGAGGGACTTGTGAACGATTGTCACACAAATTCCACAAGGGCCTGTAGCTGCATACTCAAAATGCTTCCTAGGACATAATTCCTCCACGAATTCAGAGAAAATCAACTGTTCGTAATGTTCCAATACTCACGTCACCATGATAGAGAAGAACAGAAACGAGTTTCGTCCAGACATTGTATTAACAGCTCAACAAATACCGTTTAGACTGAATGCGTTCAGAGCATTTCGATTCGGGTCAGAGGTCCGCATCGGTCGGTCATCACTGCTAGCTGTTCAAAGATCTCTCGAGTTCGTCTAGGTCTGTTTGGAGAAGAGGAGGGAAATCAATGATTGGTCTGTTAGGCCTGTCACTTACACTCCATAAACGCCACCCTAGCTGCCCCAGCAACTGCTCTGTACTGCTCCAAGTCCGATTTCCTTGTGATGAATGGCTGGAAATCCGGGTGCATCGCAAGTACTTTCTCACGCACTTCCCTCATGAATGCCTGTTGGGGAGTAGAAGGAAGTGAGCTGCAATCAACTTACGCTACCGTCATCTGGCGATGTCACTGATCTAAAACGAAACACAAGTCAAGGCGCGGGCACAGAGTCAACCTACGTCTGCGAGTTGGTTGCACTGGTGGCCAGTGCAATGACAACGAGAGACACGAACCAACGCATTGTGTAGATTTCACCATCACCTCATGTCTTCATGTATTTATAACCACCCACCTTATTCTCTGAGCCGGTTTTTCCGTGGCCGGTTACCAGCCAAACAGATCAGACTCATGAACACCGAGTTCATCTAATGAAGAAATGACGAGTTCACCTTACAATCTATCGATCCAGTTTATGGATTTTCTCCATGATCAACGAACAATCTTGAATCACATGCGAAATATTCGGCGGCAGTGAGTTTGACTTGGACTGCTCCAAACCTGGAATCTTTCACGTTGTTGTGTGCAGAATACACAAAATAGGGGGTATATTGTCGGCGATCAGTATTGATGTCCCTCGGATATCCCAGATATGACGACGAGACGGCAGCTGTTCGAACTGTGTTGTTCAAGATTGATATGACGAATTGGGGGACTCGAGATATCTTAGATGACGGAGCATATTTACGGGATAGATTGGCTGTGATTCAAAACCACCCCTGGTATCTCGACTGCTCATATCCAGGCTTGGGCAACCTAGCGGAATCTTAGCCCGCGTGTTGCTTTGGATGACGTTGACGCTGGTCAAGAAAAGTGCTATGCCTGAAAGATTATTGCACCATCATTTTTTGTTGGAGCCATGTAAGGCACCTGATGGTGTAGAAATTCAGACGGGCTGAGGTCTATCTTCAACATTCAGCAACATACATTCGGTTCGACCAATCGTCAAAAGGATCATGGAGCCCACGAGTGTTGACTTCCTCACTGATGAAGACAACCGGCAAATGAATGATGTTAACGCTCATCAATAGTTAGAACCCATCAGGAAATCAGAGTGATCCCACCCTGTCCAACAATTGGCTTTTCGGTACACGCTGTCAATCACAAGGTCATGAGGACACAGCAACACAGCGAAAGTGCTGTTGAGTAATGCTCAAATCGGCAATTATCATAGGGCCAATTTGAACCCCACTCGACTATTCGAAGTTTGCATCTACTTTAATGTAAACTGTGTTCATCAGCATGCATGAATGATACTTTTCAGCTTGCTTCCGAAGAAAATAGTCATCTGATCGTGCAATCCATGTGGAGTTCGTACACCCCAGTTGAACTGTTCGCGATCAATCGATGCAACTTGGTCTCCGTACAGAATCGACCATGTGACTGACAGAATAATGGGTTCAGATATCACGAGACCAAATCGTACCATGCGGATATTTATGGGGTGCAAGAAATGCACAAACAACCGAGCCGTCCTAACTGTTTTGGAGTAGTTGGGAAAAAATCGGTGGGGTTTTTGTTTTTTCCGGAATTCTCAAGCCCTCATTGTGCATACATGAGAGGAATTCGGGAGAATGCGCTGTTTGTAATCTATGAACTGCGCAATTTCATGCGGTCTGCGGTGCGTCATCTCCCATCTCATGACACCATCAGGAAGTGGGCGATAGGGATGCGTCAAAAGCGCGCTCCGCTCGGTTGATCTGCATCTTGTGTTGGGTCAACTTATAGGATCGTCACTTGACGTCATTCTAATCGTATGGATCGCTGAGGCAGTCACGCGGGAAACATGAATTACAGAGAACGCCTGACCGGCACACTCAGGAACGTCACGTTCACGGCCTCTTCCCTTATGCATGACGGCTATATTATCGGTGAGACTGATGAGTGTGAAGACATAGGTTCCCCTTTGCCTAGGGGCTCCTTTTCTAGCACCCCATCTTCACTAAGTTGGAAGATTACGTAAGTCGTTCTGCCACTACGTCAAAGCAAATTTGTCGACAGCTTTTCCTTGAACAGCTCGAAAGAACTGAAATTCTTATTTGAACAAAAGGTGAACAAATCCGTGATGGCCACGATGACACGCGGGTATACGCCAGAGGTCAGAGGGACAGTTTTCGAAGGTTGGTCTTTGTCATCTCCTATTACCACTTCACTTTCTCCCCGTCTCATTCGACAGTCCTGGACGCGTTGCTGGAGACGGCGAACGGGAATACCAATCAAAACAACAATCTGACTAGAAGACAATAAAGGTCACTATGTATCATCCATCCATCCATTCTTCCCACGAATTTCTAGATCCCGCTCTCGTTGTCGAACAGATGTCTACAAGTGTATTCCTTGTTTTATGATTTGGCCGTTTGTTGAATTCGATTCGGTTTTGTTGTTGCTACCCATTTCCTACTTGCTTCGCTCCTTTGTCACTTCGAGCTTGAACTTTGTGTACTGGTGGCCCCCAAGATTAGAAAGCTTAGTTTTTACACCCGAAGGTCCTTTCCTTCATCAGTCTCTGGCTATGAGAGTATTCAGAAGGGTCAACAAATTGAACTTAGGGAGTTTGGGGAATTGCGTTTTCAAAATTCCTTGTGCTCGTTCATCACCGCCCATACTTGAGAGACTGCAGTTGGCGTCATCTGACGGTGTCTCCGACCTGTAGAGAGAAAGACCTATTCCAAACCGGAAAAGGGGTAGTAAACAAACAGACAACTGATGTATTTCTGTGCATTTGTTTGCGTTCCTTAAATGGCATCTCCGATTTATCAGGCTTGAACAGGTATCTAGTTATCAAGAAGACAGTTTGGACTGATCTATGGTTTACTTGTCGAGTTCAAACTGTCGGTGTTTGCAATCTCCTTCTTTCAGTTTATCGATCTAGCTAATGCCTCTTGTTCGAGCACGTGACTTGATTATTCATCAGACCCTCCGGGCTTCAGTGCGTAATAATTGATTGAATCTGAAGTCGACCTTGCCAGATCTTAAGCCGATATTTTTAGCTCACAGAATTTTGCCGAAAAATCCAAGGAAATCAAAGATAATGAATTCTCCAAACAGCACTACTCCTTAGGGTCGCTAGTTTGATTACATACTGGGGGCTACTTTATACCTCGGGAAGGGACCGGAATTCAATAAAATCCATTTTGGCTTTCTCTCCAAAGTGGATTTCCACTAGTCGAGTAAATAGTTATTTGTCGTACTCAGAAATGCGTGAAACTTCTAAAAACTGTGTTCTTTGTACGGCATCTCTAAGAGCAGCTAGAACCGATCTTGTGTGCAAAATTGCTTGTGAGCGAAAAACAGTGTGAAATCCTTGTACTCAGAAATGCGTGAAACTTCTAAAAATTGTGTTCTTTCTACGGCATCTCCAAGAGCAGCTAAAACCGATCTTGTGTACAACATTGCTTGCGAGCGAAAAACAGTGTGAAATCCTGCACGACAACCCCACAGAAGCCACATGAAATCCTCACGACTTGGGTAGGCGGTTATGGGAAGCTGTTCGGAGGCCAACCGTCTCTAATAACCGAACATCACCTCATTTGGACGGATTTGTCATGTGCAGGACACGGACCGAACGAAGGCATGCCCATATTGGTCAGAATCCCAGCCAATCTGGATCGAGCATCTTTGACTCGACGCTTCTCGCCCCGTCACGGAGATCCTGGCACGACCTTGTGGAACTCCCTGTGATTACCTCATAAATACATCGTAATAACTTTCCTTTGTCTGTGTGGAGCTACCGTGCCTTTTGATATACCATAATGAGCGGAGCAAGAAGCACAGAGTTGCACTACAGAACCCCAGGCGAATAGCAGTTATTACAAAGAATTCCTTACCAGAATGAAAGGAAAGTGAAGGTTCGGTATCTTCGGCTGATAAATGACTAACAAACATAAACCGGGCAAAATTATGAAAGCCGGGAAACATCACTTCTCAGAGCTCCCCATCCTGCCAGAAGAAGTTGATTTGAACTGTATAGCTCATCTATCCCAACATGCAGCAAGGACCTATAGGCATACAGCCTCAGAATTGCTGAAGGCCACAAATCGGTTAGATAATCGGGGATTGGACGGGTTGTTCGCGGAGCTCCCCAAGCTGGGGGGTCCATAAAGCAGGAGACAGTTCTCAGCCTGTTATGCACAAATCTGGGGACAGAAAATACCCCGCAAGATTTCAAGGGTGTAACGATAATTTCTTTTTGTACATAGGGGGAGAGAAACGACAGAAGACGGTAGAGCGGGAAAGATTGTGGCTCCTATCCTGCCCAACCGGGTAACCACTGGCTTTCTGGAGGAAAAGGCTCCTGGGGAACAGTGTGAACATCTGAACAGAACACGATGCTTGTCTTTTGACAGCTGGCGACTTACTTTACTCCCCTCGGAGCTCATTGGATAGGTGCAATCCTTCAGCTTCCTTCAAAATTATGTCATAATCGAACACCAGGTTGTCCGTAGCAGGTGATGATCATATCCTCAATCCACCAAGGCTGTTATTGGACTGGAACTTCCTAAGGCAACAGTCGGTGACTTGAGTTTGCTTGCCATTGTGGGCTCTCTGCGTGGTACATGGCGTTGGATGTACATTTTTGCCATTTAATCTCACACCAGACCCAGTATGACGAACACTTTGTGCCTGATGTGCGAGTCTTGACTGTGCTAGCGCCTACCGCGCCTTGAAGAGCATTCAAAATTGTACGTCCTTTCTTCGGTTGTTGGTCTTTAGACGCGTTAACCATACCAAAAATTTTTACATCTCATCTGGCTGGAACTTTTGGTGGCATGAAATCGAATGAGACGTTTCTCTCTTTTATCTCATATTCTCCTGTTACCCTTTCGCATTCATTGCTTGCATTCACTTTTTATGTTTGTGACCATGCTCTCCAAAAAATAAATCACAATAGAGCCTCAACCAAACTTATGACTAAAAATCCAACCCATGGCATTCTTCGGATGAATGAACAGAACAAGGACCACGTCGGGACAGAGTCTAGTACCACTAGGAGCTTTTGACAGTACTTGCAGGATCAAGTTAGTTTTTCCACTGGGAACGCGAAGCCAAAGGTTGGGTTTACAGAAGGCGTCGGTAACCGACAAGTACCTATTGTGCGTGGTTGCTCGGCTGAGTGCAAGAACAACTCACCAGGTATAGTAAAATACCCCTTTGGGACTACTAGGGAGATAATCAAAGTGACACCGACAAAAACCTTGTAAATTTACCCAAAGAAGCATTGCAAACACACTACTCACGACAGAC